AATGAGACAGCTTAAACAACTTAGCCGAAACCTTACTGATGTAGACAGACTTCAACTATACAGTGTGATCCATACTGTCTGGATGATTCAAACAGGCCTAAAGCTGACTGCAGGACTTCACCCACTGTAACAAACCGACATGATACTGCCATATCCTCACGGACTAGATAGACCTTTCCAGAATCTACTGCAACAGATTTCTGTATAAAATCCCTACAATGGCCAATAAAACATTTTTGTTTAGAGTCTGTACTTTATTGTTGAAGGATGAATTACTGACACAAATAATTAGTTATCAATAAGGGGCCAAGTCCAACTACAATGGGCCTTCAATAGTTATGTGCGATATACACTGAACACAAAACTGAATTTTCCACTAGAAAATGCAAGTAAAACTGAAATTAGGTACATAAAAATAATATGTTATATAGATAACATCAACCCAGTTGATCTATGCTTGATAAACAACTTATCAACGACAAACCACAATGGTTTCCATGACAATGAGGATGTGGATTACATATTAGATGGTGGTCGTATAAAGTTGTGCGTGATTCCATTACAACCGACGTATTGTTGTTACATTTTTTTAACATAACAGAAAGCTGTAACCCCGAGGAGGATTGTCTCAGAAATGTCCGTTCTGCACTAAGACGACAACATGGACAGACAAACCTGATGGGATTCCACCAGGTCTATTGTGCCCTATACATTTGTATAGTTATTCATGTATAGGTGGTGATTCAGACTTCTAAGATAGTTCTGCTACTTACAAAATTATTTTTGAATTATTGATGATGTTTTCAGAAATATTCAAAACTGGTTCATGTAATGCTCCTCTTTCACATTTATTGTTTGAACTTTTTAAGAATGGTCCTATGATAGAAATTGACATCAACCAGTGTGACGATGACACATCAGTTTGTCTAGATTTGTTGAGGATGTCTTGTGGTATCATTAGATTTTAAAAAGTGCACTTCGTTAAAAGTCTTTTATGTTGCTACTTATACTTAAATGTATCAATAAATTTTTAATTGAAATTTAAAATAAAACCTGTACAGCAAGATTTCAGTGCAGAGTAGTATCAAATGAAATAAAGATTACAGTGAACACCTTAAGAACAGGTTATATATAGCAGTGAGGGTCACCACATGAGGTGGTTGATAGGGGTGAAGGAACCATGTGGCTGTCAAGCCTTTTGTCTAAAGCACTCGGGTATAGATCAAGGCGGTACTGTAGTGTTCGGTACATAAATATATATACAATAAGTCGAGGAACAAAATATCACAGCATCGTACAATAACAGGACAGAACACGGAAACACCCTACAACAGCAGTATATCGTAGCACACCAATAGTATCTACAACACAGTCCAAATCAAAACAACAATTCTAAACATCTAAAAACTGCATTGTTCTAGGTTCTTGTCTTCTAACCATTTGCTTGAAGTATAAATGATACAATCAATTGATTGGATTTTACAACATTGGGTTGTTACATGTCCTTATTTAAGTGAATGGTCTAACGTCATTGGTTTGTGCGAGAAAATTGCGTCGTTTTCTCAAAAATTGATGACGTTACTCTCACAAATAAGTGACGTAACAATCAATACCTGCTCCCAAGAGAAGATAACTCTGCAATACGCAAAGACGGAATACCCAAAGTTGAAGTGTAGCGTAATGGACTATGGGTATCTGACTATGATCTACTCCATAGAGTATTAACACTATCAGATTACATTACACTGAACTTCACAGGATCTTGAGTCATGTTAGGACTGTGACGTAGCTATTAGTGTGCCGGCCAGACTTGATCACAATCAGTAGTCAGTACGTTACACAGTAATTCACAGTACAGAAAACGTCCGATTTACAGACTTTGATATTTACAATTCACAAAGCTGTATAATATTATATTACAACTTGATATTTACAAATGTTTATACATAAAGCTAGGTACTTACAATACTGCTATAACAACTAGGGGTACGCATAACACAGTATTACATTGCATTCATAAACAGTATTACATATTAGATAATACATAGTTACACATATGCAACAGTGTATATTACAATGTATTCTTAAACATTACAACATAATATTACATTGTTCCAAAACTGTAAACGTATAACATTGTATTTTTAAACATCAACACATTGTTCCATGCCATAAAACATTGTATTACAATGTATTCTTAAACATTATTACATTTACAATACATTGTTCCACACATATAACAAACACAATGTATTGTATTAAACTATTACATGTAGTAATGTATCATTATACTGTATTCTCAAAAATTATTACATTTCTAGTATATTTTTCCACCCATTCAACATGATGACAATCTATGAATCTACTATGAATCTTCAAGTTACATATTAATTTGCATGACTTTTAATCACAAATTCAAATTTAATGAGTTTATTTAAGCAGGCAAGTGAAAACAAAGTTTACAATCACCAATTGTTCCATTCATAAATATGTTGTCTGAAACAATAGCAAAAATAAATATCTGCGAAAGATAAGTGATTTATTGTAGACAGATTACGGCCAGCTTGTATTCCGTCCCCCCCCCCGGAGAGTGGCAGCCACTAGATGTGTGGGATATGATCAGAAGGCATGCAGCTAGCAAGTCAAGCTGGAAAAGTCAGCAACACATACCCGATACCTAAGGAACAAAGCTTTTAGGATTCTGCACCTAATATATTTTAAAGATATTTATTGACCTTCAATATTGACTTTTAAACACAAAATAACTATTACCCTGTAACAGAAACATTACTGAGTTATCAAATTAAAATTGACAAAGATTAAAACACAAGAATGCCAAATAGTAGATGTGTCGCCTGCACCAACTTGTATATATATGCTACCCATGTTTCATTCCAATCTGATAATTCTTTCAAATGATATCATCTGGAAACCATTAGCCTATGAGAATGCAGCAACCTCGTTAAAAAAGTGTAAATTCTGCCTAGCATCAAATTCAAGCAAAGTACTTTAGTTTAAACTGCCTATACTAGGTATGTTTCATCAAAAATTCCTTTAACATCGAGCAGAACATCGAAATTGAGCAAGACAAGTAAACATGGGTAAAAACCATAATGGATAAGTTTCACGAAAATCTGACAATTCCTTCAAAAGATATCTGTAGAAACAATACTGTATGTCACCGACAGTGGCAGCACACGGTGACAGACAATGGTATTGTTATTTGTCACCTCTACAGATGCCACAAGAACTATATAACATGATATACATTATATTTGTGCTTTAGATCTAATTAATGAAGGTCACTGTACACTGTATATAACAACAGATATCAATCACTAAAGCTACTTTTAACTTAAAAGAAAGCACCAAATATCTCTATACAACAACAAGCATCACTGTTGAACCAACATTTCATGATCAACTTAAACACCCAATTACAAGACAAATTTTGATAGCAATTATTTTAGTTCACAAATCATTAAATATATCTACTTAAACTGTCTGTGAATGTAAAATTATATCTAGTACAGAAAAAAGTGAAGTATATTTCTTTGGCCATTCTTAAGAGATCAGATTCTCAAAGTTATCAATACATCTGAGATCAGCTTGTATATAAATGTTTTTACCTAGAACATCAGGGCACCAGGACTTCAATGTATCAGGCTTGTTAGCTTAATGATGCTTTCAGTGAAATTGTCCAATTTAATTGAAAATTCACGAAGAAATTTGAGTACACCCGAGGGTAATCCCTTTAAACTCAATAACGTGATTACTTTGTTGTCAATTTTAATAATAACTGTATACGTCACTAATTTACATGACTTTCCTCCTCATGTCTGCATTTTAGGCTCTTTGCACCTTTATTTGTTCATTTATATGCACATTGAGATGATTATCTGCTTGCTCAATGGATAATGGTGATTGCAAGCCTTTTTTTTTATATAAATATAAACTTTATTTATTTAACAACAATTATGAAACAAGTTATTTCAACTTATATTAATCATTCTTGTTGGCCCGGATGTTAGCGCGTGGGGGGTCTTAATATGGGAGGGAACCGGGGTACCCGGAGAAAACCCAAGTAGTCGGGCAGGTGACCCCAACCTTTTCACGTCCGATCAGGGAATCGAACCCCGGCCACCTTGGTGAAAGGCAAGTGTGTTAACCACTGCACCACTCGACCACCTAATTCAATATGTCACTATTTTTTGTTTTGTTTATCAAATATAACTAATACTATTACCCAAAAGCATTTCAGAGTAATTTTACAAATCCTATAGGGCGCTATATAAATTTTGTATATCATTATTATTATATGATCGTATATTTCAAGTTTATTTGTGATTAAGCATCAAAGCCTGACACCAGGTGTTTTGGGCCTATGTTGATATATTTCAGAGTCACTGCCTTATGGATTCAGCTGTAAATAAACATGTCAGTCTAACTTACATCCCATCAACTAAAACAACAGCCCCACCCACTGTTATACTAATATGGAAACATTATGGTTATATTTACATGTACAACATATTTAAGTCTAAGGTGACTTTTTTGTGGCTTGAAATTGTACTAATTCAAACTTATATTAGAGTTGAAGCTATTGTGCTGTAGAAGTTGCCAATGTTGAAGGCACACAGTATGACCAGAGTTAATGTTTGAACATTTTTGCATTGTATCTTGAAAAAAACCCATTACAATGGTTATTATTTTTCTGACTTAGAGGGTCCCGGGTTAGAATCCTGGTCTGGCCGTGCATTTCGCTTTTTCCTGTTTCACTTCAATAATACATTTGAATTTCAATCAAATGTGAAGGATTGTTCAAGCTATGTGTGAAATCTCTATCCCCTATACATGTATATATATGTTACAGCACAACGCAGATTGGTTATAGTATCACCACTTAGGCATGTCCACATGCTAAAATATAAACTTTTATAGTAACGTGATCTGAGGGACAACAGATAAGCATGTTTTGATGGAGTATAGGCAGAGGTAAGGGANGGAAGGGGAGGGGAAGGGGTCGGGATGAGGGAGGGGGATTCTACATTGCACATGCTTCTCAACAGCATGTATAAGCACCACAACAACAGGTTTATATACATTATACATTATTTCTTCTTTATTGCACTTAACTGGGTTTTGACTTCCATTAAATATGTTTTAAGTTCCTCTGGCGGATCATACTGCAGTTTAGAAGGTTTTTGTTTCAATCTAGTACATGCACTGATTAATTAAGCACCAAACAACAGATATTTGTATCGCACCATTGATAAACCTGTGAGTTCTAGCCTAGGTAAAGGTGTTAAATGGCAATTAAAGCAAGCAGCAGCCACTTCTTATCATCAATTAACAAGTCATCAGTGTATTAAGTACTGTATACGGGGAAAGATCCCCTTAAATGTTTTAAATTGGAATTTTCCACTGAACTAAGTAATAAGGAAAAATTCATAACAATGGTACGTATATGTTTATACACAGCCTATAAACAGTGATTCCATTGTGAAGGGCTACACATATGGAGCAACGCTTTCTGTATACACATTGTGTACAAGTAATAGCAAAATATGAGACAAGCAATACTATGTTCTAGTATGGAATTATATAGTTTTACATTTTATACTGCCTGTTTTAGCTATTTCAGTGTTTGTTTTATTTGATTATAATTTACTGAACAAATCTAGTGATATGTGACGTGTAAGGAAAGATAACTAGATATGGTGGTAGATATGTGTGATGTCTAGAACCGGTGACAGATGACACAATGTCCTTGATTAAATTACTTCCTCAGAAGTTTTTATACTCAAAATTTTTAATGATCAGTGATGTGAAAAATAATGAAATATGAGTTGTATGCTATTGTTAACATACTACATATTTTTTATTTATTTCAAGCTGGAGTTAATATTTTTCTTTCAATCTACATGACATAATGATGATTCAAATTGAGAAAAGCCTTTGAAAACAAATTTGCGTAAAATTAAAATCCAATCAAATTGTGTGATAAAAAAGTAAAAAGTGGACAAACTGTAAACTCCTGGAATTGCCAATGTCTCCAGTACAAGTTTGCACCGTCAGCATTTTGATTTAATTATTTTGAAAATGAAATAAAACCTGTAAAAAATTTGATAACTGGTTTCTGTAACAATTTGATATTATGCACTAGACATAACACAGCACTCATAGGGTCAAAAAGGTCACTAAAGGTCACGGAGATCACTGACACTCTGAAAAACTTATCACAAATTATGCAATTACATTTGATCTCACACAGGGACACTTAATTCATTAAAAGTTCACAAAAATAAAGTCAGCTTTTCTCAGAATTAATGTCATCCATGATATGACATAAAAATATACAATAATTCATTTCATGATTCACAATAGCGATAATACAAGACAAAATCACATGTATTTGGTGTCAAAGACAGCATCAGCTCACATCGACAAACAGTATAGCACCTACAGGCAGCAGTTACATCCTCCATATCACATTCAACGGAGTCCGACCAATCAGGACCGTTCTTACTGTTCCACCCAACCAATAAAGGCCCTCCTTACATTGACACATCACTATATGACACAGGGTTTTATTGGTTGACTTCAGATCTACAATTCAACACATAAATGCAACTAAGTACAACAAAGCGTGACCTTGGAAAGTGTAACCGGTATGAAACGGAAATTTGCAAAATTGAAATGACAAACAACAAATACTTTTTCTATGAAAACTGAATGCTTTTTGTTCATGGAATGTTAAGTTATTGATCTAAGTTGGGCTTTTTATTTCTAAATTTTACAATGGTAAATTCAACTTGCCAGTGATTTTTAACTTGTAACAAAGTTCTCATCACAAATACTGTTTTTTGTCAAATCACAAATACAGTTGTTCTTTTCTGTTGATTTAAAAACACACCCTCATGAGTAGGACATTCCAGTCAAATTCTCAAAATTGTTATTACTTAAATTTGAAGAGTCAAGAGATTTTTTTACATGATTTCCTCTAACACCCTGCACATATGCATTACAATAAACACATGTTCTGGGTTAATTACCCTGTGTAATCACACAGGTGTGGTGCTCGGAGGGTGGAGTGGTTATAAACCTCTGGGAAAATTTTATGAGTTGAAAAATTCAGACATTTTGAATCACAGCAGGTCTGATATAAAATGTTTCATTAAACATACCACTTCATTTGAGTAAAGAAATTTTTCTAAAGGTCAAGGTCGTATTTGAGCTCACATCCAATTATTATAGATTAATGTTGCATTTGAGTCGTACAACAGACATGTCGACTGAAGATGAAGTTTCCATTGAAGACTGAGAGTTGAGCTCACAACAAAGGACCAGAGCTTCCACCTAACTCAGTGTAGATTGTATCCTGAGAGGAGGGATAACATCAAAACCTCATCAGGTAATACATTTTTGTACATCAGTACAGACTGTAGCTCTCAGCTAATCACAGTCAATGTTTACACTGATACCTACAGTACATTAGGTTGAGGATTACAACACGTCCTCGTCACGACTTATTCACAGGAGATGTCTATGTTTATGATGTATGTAAAACAGGACTCTCTCAGGGAATGTCGCTGCCCCCTAGTGGTGAATTTGAGAAGAAACCGTAACTCTAACACACTTCTCCCTAGTGATGAAGTCTGAGAATGTGACGATGATATGAACTGCTAAGCCACTATCATGTCTTTCTAGTTTTTGACTTGCTGCGGCTGGCATCCTTGGCCTTCTCTTTAGCTCTGCGTCTCTGAACCTGTTTCTGGTGCTCCTTCTCCATGTCTCGTTCATTAATGTTAAGCCGCAACGTCTATGAAAATAGAAAGGAAAAATCAGTTCTCAATCCCTGAGTAGCTTTTAAGTGTTGTAATATTTTCAGCACTTTGTTTTAAATTTTGAAAAAAAGAAATTCTCGATAAAAACTTAACTTAGTAATGCTTTCACCAAAACTATTCCTTTTCATCACCATGTGAAAATATATTAATACAATGTTGAATTGTTGCATTATTTTCAATATGCGGCTGTTAAAGGGTAAAGATTTTTTTCTGTATATACAGGAGCTTATAGTTCATAGTATTAATATCTACTGGATATTTAATTTTATGTAATCTTTGGTGACCTTGATTAAAGCTTAATGACATCCCTGCAAATTTTACCAACTATACAGTTAGTCCCCCCTTCTTACTTCCTGTATAAGCCTCTCCCCTACTTACTTCCTGTATAAGCCTCTCCCCTACTTACGTCCTGTATAAGTCTCTCCCCTACTTACTTCCTGTAAAAGCCTCTCCCCTACTTACTTCCTGTATAAGCCCCTCCCCTACTTACTTTATGTATAAGCCTCTCCCATACTTACTTCCTGTAAAAGCCTCTCCCCTACTTACTTTCTGTATAAGCCTCTCCCCTACTTACTTCCTGTATAAGCCCCTCCCCTACTTACTTTCTGTATAAGCCTCTCCCATACTTACTTCCTGTATAAACCTCTCCCCTACTTACTTCCTGTATAAGCCTCTCCCCTACTTACTTCCTGTATAAGCCTCTCCCCTACTTACTTCCTGTATAAGCCCCTCCCCTACTTACTTCCTGTATAAGCCCCTCCCCTACTTACTTCCTGTATAAGCCTCTCCCCTACTTATTTCCTGTATAAGCCCCTTCCCTACTTACTTCCTGTATAAGCCCCTCCCATACTTACTTCCTGTATAAGCCCCTTCCCTACTTACTTCCTGTATATGCCTCTCCCCAACTTACTTCCTGTATAAGCCTTTCCCCTACTTACTTCCTGTATAAGCCTCTCCCCTTCTTAATTCCTGTATAAGCCCCTCCCCTACTTACTTCCTGTATAAGCCCCTCCTCCTCGAGCAGTTGGAGTGGCAGCCTCCTAAGAGCCTCCAGCGTTTCGTAGAGTGAAGGACACTTAGATAGTGTGCCTGGCTCGCCGAGGGTAATCCTAACTAGGACCAAACCCACACGGAACAACACCTTCACACCTGGGCACAAAGGAAACAAATGTACGCAACAATAATAATATCAATTCTCAACTGCTAATACAGTTCTTAAAGTGTAATCATTCTTTACACTGGCAGAAAATAAATGTCACAAATGTTTTTGAAACCTGTATCAGATTTGAGAAAAATGTTTTTTGAAATATCATTTTCATTTTAATAATTTTCTCCTCTTTTCCCTAATCCACTGGATGAAGAAATAAGTTTCAAGTCTCCTTCAGACACTATTTACAACTGTAAAATCAAACTTTCATCACAGAACTTGCTTCATGCAATCTTGCTTTGACTTGTTTAATGAAGTAAGGACCATTTGGAACCAACATGTGGAATTTGACGAAGATACTACCAGCACTTTCTATGAAATAGTGATCACAAGACTTTAACTTAAAAGATCTTCAAAAATTTCAAAATGGCCACCAGTCAGCCATCTTGTTCTTTTAGTCAGTCCAAAATTTAATATGCACAACTAGGAACCAAGAAGAACCTACATGTAAAATTTAAGAACAATCCTTTGAGTACTTTCTGAAAAATCACTTCAACAAGAACTGTTGAAGCAGCATCACATAAGCTGTCTTAGCTAATAATGTTCCTAATGTAGCATTTCAACCGTAAATCTTCTGCTCACCTTCACAGAAGAACACATCCCACACCCGAAGTACACTGGACCAGGGGAGTGTGCGCGTGAACACACACATAAACCACTCTGTCATGTAGAGGATTGGTATGACATCCTGCTTCTTCTGTTATAACAGAATACACTTTATCTATAACACAAATTCTTATTACAAACAGATTACACAACCTTATAATATTTCTAACTCTACAGTCACATAAACCATTCTGTCACGTAGAGAATTGGGTAGACATACACTACAGTCATAAAATATTCTACAATACTTTATAACAGCCAACACATATAAAGTACTATACTTTATAACAGCCAACACATAGAAAGTACTATACTTTATAACAGCCAACAGATATAAAGTACTATACTTTATAACAGCCAACACATAGAAAGTACTATACTTTATAACAGCCAACACATATAAAGTACTATACTTTATAACAGCCAACACATATAAAGTACTATACTTTATAACAGCCAACACATATAAAGTACTATACTTTATAACAGCCAACACATATAAAGTACTATACTTTATAACAGCCAACACATATAAAGTACTATACTTTATAACAGCCAACACATATAAAGTACTATACTTTATAACAGCCAACACATATAAAGTACTATACTTTATAACAGCCAACACATATAAAGTACTATACTTTATAACAGCCAACACATATAAAGTACTATACTTTATAACAGCCAACACATATAAAGTACTATACTTTATAACAGCCAACACATATAAAGTACTATACTTTATAACAGCCAACACATATAAAGTACTATACTTTATAACAGCCAACACATATAAAGTACTATACTTTATAACAGCCAACACATATAAAGTACTATACTTTATAACAGCCAACACATATAAAGTACTATACTTTATAACAGCCAACACATATAAAGTACTATACTTTATAACAGCCAACACATATAAAGTACTATACTTTATAACAGCCAACACATATAAAGTACTATACTTTATAACAGCCAACACATATAAAGTACTATACTTTATAACAGCCAACACATATAAAGTACTATACTTTATAACAGCCAACACATATAAAGTACTATACTTTATAACAGCCAACACATATAAAGTACTATACTTTATAACAGCCAACACATATAAAGTACTATACTTTATAACAGCCAACACATATAAAGTACTATACTTTATAACAGCCAACACATATAAAGTACTATACTTTATAACAGCCAACACATATAAAGTACTATACTTTATAACAGCCAACACATATAAAGTACTATACTTTATAACAGCCAACACATATAAAGTACTATACTTTATAACAGCCAACACATATAAAGTACTATACTTTATAACAGCCAACACATATAAAGTACTATACTTTATAACAGCCAACACATATAAAGTACTATACTTTATAACAGCCAACACATATAAAGTACTATACTTTATAACAGCCAACACATATAAAGTACTATACTTTATAACAGCCAACACATATAAAGTACTATACTTTATAACAGCCAACACATATAAAGTACTATACTTTATAACAGCCAACACATATAAAGTACTATACTTTATAACAGCCAACACATATAAAGTACTATACTTTATAACAGCCAACACATATAAAGTACTATACTTTATAACAGCCAACACATATAAAGTACTATACTTTATAACAGCCAACACATATAAAGTACTATACTTTATAACAGCCAACACATATAAAGTACTATACTTTATAACAGCCAACACATATAAAGTACTATACTTTATAACAGCCAACACATATAAAGTACTATACTTTATAACAGCCAACACATATAAAGTACTATACTTTATAACAGCCAACACATATAAAGTACTATACTTTATAACAGCCAACACATATAAAGTACTATACTTTATAACAGCCAACACATATAAAGTACTATACTTTATAACAGCCAACACATATAAAGTACTATACTTTATAACAGCCAACACATATAAAGTACTATACTTTATAACAGCCAACACATATAAAGTACTATACTTTATAACAGCCAACACATATAAAGTACTATACTTTATAACAGCCAACACATATAAAGTACTATACTTTATAACAGCCAACACATATAAAGTACTATACTTTATAACAGCCAACACATATAAAGTACTATACTTTATAACAGCCAACACATAGAAAGTACTATACTTTATAACAGCCAACACATAGAAAGTACTATATCAAGTTGTAACAGACACGACACTCTCACTCTTTCTCCTATCTCACTCCACATTGTAGAACAGACTGCCGCAATACTCTTTTCCCTGCGGAACTATCCCAGACGGGAACAACCTCCCACCAGACCCGGTCTCATCTGAAACTTTGGAAACCTTTAAGCGTCGTCTCTCCTCTCTACATAATTAGCTCTGTTCTCACTCTCTTTTCCTGTACATAAATACAACCCAAACATTGACATGATCTTCAATATGATGGAGTAGGTCGATTATTAGGTAGAAGTAGAAGTAGAAGTTGGGTGTAAGTCTTTAAGAAGGGAGACAACTTCAGTACTGTTAATTACACAAATCAGACAGGTCAGAGGTTGTAACCCATACACATTTACATATCTCAACATGTCATATGAATCTCCTATACTGTTAGCAGTTGTCCTGAGATGCATCGGGAATCTCCCATCATTCCTACAATAAATTCCCCCAGAATGCATCAGCCTTTCTGATTATGTTTATTTTTTAAAACCAAGATGAGACTTCAAATTTCCATATCAATATAATGTGATGTCTCTGTTACTCACTATAAACTGTGGTTTTGAATATTTTACTGATCTATTACGTATCACCTAATTCTTTAGGAACTTTTGTTTAGCCCAATGTCACTATTTCAAGGCTAGCGTTATATTACAGTAATTTACTGTGTCCAAGCTGTGACATTTCAACTTAAACAAACAACCTGAACATGATACTTACTAAGTGTTTATATATTGCAGGGGACGTTCTCTTCACCAGTCCAAACAACACATCGCCATCTACCTGTACAGCTTCCTGTTGACACAGAACAACAGCTATTTAGTTAAACGTCTGCCCATAGGCAATAGGCAATTCAACTTCTGCTTGACCATGCAGTAAGATAAATAGTACAGAATCAAAAACATTACATGGACCAGTCTTGTTAATTGAAAGTAATCTAGAATTGAACAATCCACTATATAGGTACAAATAATATTATACTGTCCAGTTTCGTTAATTAAAACTAGAATTGGCCAGTCAGGTGAGCAAATAGCAGTTTATACTGACCAGTCCTGGACTGAAGTAACCAGGCAGGTACTTTTCACAGATTGACACAAGACACCAGAAAGCCTGTTCAGCAGGCATGTGCATGAGAAGGACTGCGGCGATGGGTGCCTGTGCCTGGCAGTACCCGTCCTTTGGGTTGTGGATGGTGTACGCCTTCAGAATCTTGAACAAATCCTCTTGGCTGCAAAAGTACCACATGTGTCAATCAGAATGTAACACGAAGGTAAATCAGTATTTGTACAGGTGTAACACACAGGTAAATCAGTATTTGTACAGGTGTAACACACAGGTAAATCAGTTTTGTACAGGTAAAACACACAGGTAAATCAGTATTTGTACAGGTAAAACACAAAGGTAAATCAGTATTTGTACAGGTGTAACACACAGGTAAATCAGTATTTGTACAGGTGTAACACACAGGTAAATCAGTATTTGTACAGTGTTTATATACTGGGATAGCTTTATAACAGAGTTAATATACTGGGGTAGCTTTATAACAAAGTTTATATACTGGGGTAGCTTTATAACAGTGTTTATATACTGGGGTAGCTTTATAACAGTGTTTATATACTGGGATAGCTTTATAACAGTGTTTATATACTGGGGTAGGTTTATAACAGTGTTATATACTGAGGTAGCTTTACAACAGTGTTTATATACTGGGGTAGCTTTATAACAGTATATAAACACTGTTATAAAACTACCCCAGTATATAACACTGTTGTAAAGCTACCTCAGTATATAACACTTTTATAAACCTACCCCAGTATATAAACATTGTTATAAAGCTATCCCAGTATATAACCACTGTTATAAAGCTTCCCCAGTATATGAACACTGTTATAAAGTTACCCCAGTATATAACTCTGTTATAAAGCTATCCTAGTATATAAACACAGTTATAAAGCTACCGCAGTATATAACACTGTTATAAACCTACCCAAGTATATAAACACTGTTATAGAGCTACCCCAGTATAAACACTGTTATCAAGCTATCCCAGTATATAACACAGTTATAAAGCTATCCCAGTATATAACACAGTTATAAAGCTACCCCATTATATAAACACTGTTTATATACTGGGGGAGCTTTATCACAGTGTTTATATACTGCTATCTCTTAATAACTGTGTTTATATACTAGGATAGCTTTATAACAATGTTTATATACTGGGGTGGCTTTTTAACAGTGTTTATATTCTAGGGTTGCTTTATAACAGTGTTTATATACTGGGGTAGCTTTATAACAGTGTTATATACTGGGGTAGCTTTGTAACAGTGTTATATACTGGGATAGCTTTATAACAGTGTTTATATACTGGGGTAGCTTTACAACAGTGTTTTATACTGGGGTAGCTTTATAACAGTGTTCATATACTGGGGTAGCTTTATAACAGTGTTATATACTGGGGTAGCTTTATAACAGTGTTATATACTGGGATAGCTTTATAACAGTGTTTATATACTGGGGTAGCTTTATAAAAGCGTTTATATACTGGGGTAGCTTTATAATAGTGTTTATATATGGGGTAGCTTTACAACAGTGTTTTATATACTGGGGTAGCTTTATAACAGCGTTTATATACTGGGGTAGCTTTATAACAGTGTTCATATACTGGGGAAGGTTTATAACAGTGTTTATATACTGGGGTAGCTTTATAACAGCGTTTATATACTGGGGTAGCTTTATAACAGTGTTCATATACTGGGGTAGCTTTACAACAGTGTTTATATACCGGAGTAGCTTTATAACAGTGTTTATATACTGGGGTAGCTTTATAACAGCGTTTATATACTGTGGTAGCTTTATAACAGTGTTCATATACTTGGGTAGCTTTACAACAGTGTCTATATACGTGGGTAGCTTTATAACAGCGTTCATATACTGGGGTAGCTTTATCACAGCGTTTATATACTGGGGCAGCTTTACAACAGTGTTTATAGACTGGGGTAGCTTTATAACAGCGTTCATATACTGGGGTAGCTTTACAACAGTGTTTATATACCGCAGTAGCTTTATAACAGTGTTTATATACTGGGGTAGCTTTATAACAGCGTTTATATACTGGGATAGCTTTATAACAGTGTTTACATACTGGGGTAGCCTTATAACAGTGTTTATATACTGGGGTAGCTTTACAGCAGTGTTTATATACTGGGGTAGCTTTACAGCAGTGTTTATATACTGGGGTAGCTTTACAGCAGTGTTTATATACTGGGGTAGCTTTACAACAGTGTTATATACTGGGGTAGCTTTATAACAGCGTTTATATACTGGGATAGCTTTATAACATTGTTTATATACTGGGGTAGCTTTATAACAGTGTTTATATACTGGGTTAGCTTTAAAACAGTGTTTATATACTGGGGTAGCTTTATAACAGTGTTTATATACTGGGATAGCTTTATAACAGTGTTTATATACTGGGGTAGCTTTATAACAGTGTTTATATACTGGGGTAGCTTTATAACAGTGTTTATATACTGGGGTAGCTTTATAACAGTGTTTATATACTGTTGAAGGAAACAATGTACACACCCATATCCGTCTTTGCTTGTGAACATCACGTGTAGGGGAAACTGTCGGTGCAGGTCTTTCTTGATGTCGTCCATCCACTTAGGATCGCCTGACTGTTGTAGGTAGTTCTGTGGACACAAGAAGTAACACTGTAAATCTGACATAACATCACTTCATCAGTGATAATATTATCTAGTTTCCTATTAGGGATAACTTACACATGACACTGACTTCTGACTAAAACACAGGCTATAAAGCAGAATCTGATAATTGGATAACTCCAAACTCTACAAGGGTGGTAGTATAACATTGTCTTGCATTCTAAGCCTTGGGTATCCTGCTCAATATTTTATCCCTTGGGTTTGAATAACCATATCCATACCTCACATCAGGGATGGATTTTATTAATACAGACATCCTTATAGACTATACATGATAATCTGTTTAATTTGGTAACCTCGTACTCTACAATTTTTGGTTTATTTGTGTTTTAAGTCCTATTAACAGCTATGGTCATTTAAGGATGTGCCAGGTTTGGGTGGTTGAAAAAAAAAGCACCCAGCAGTTACAGGGTTGCGACCAGTAATCTTGAATGTTTCTAGGATATTTGGAATTTATATTTTGAAAAAATATATGTAACATTAAACATACATGTACCGGTACAATATCTCTACAGAGCCTATGATAATACCAGTGTATTACTCAAGCATGACCGTGGGAACAGGTCCCACCCCTCAGTGATGTTTGTTATTTAATACATTTTAACACTATACAAACCTGGATCTTTATCAGATATCATACAGTGTGTTTTAGCTCGGGTTTACCATACAACGGAATATGTCAGACAGAAAGCTGGCTCTATTTTTATATACTTTACTATTTCTTTCATGGGCCATTTTAGCGTGTATGGTGTTAACAAATACCAGTACTTGTCACACACAAAATGGGATATTACTGTTATATAACTTATTAGTATTTTTTATCAGTCTCCATATAAATCTATAAAAATACACATTGATCAGAAATAAGGGATAAACAATTCCTTTTATAGTCTGAGGTAACATTAATATTTTACATCTTTTATATAACATTAATGTATTGTACTATATGTAAATGACTTCCCTTCACTACTGCTATAAATGCTATTACAGGATACAGCACCACAGGTAACCACATTACCAGTAAACCCCAACCCTAATATCACAGGTAAACACATCACCAGTAAACCCCAACCCTCATATCACAGGTAACCACATTACCAGTAAACCCCAACCCTAATATCACAGGTAAACACATTACCAGTAAACCCCAACGTCACCCCTAATATCACAGGTAAACACATTACCAGTAAACCCCAAACCTAATATCACAGGTAAACACATTACCAGTAAACCCCAACGTCACCCCTAATATCACAGGTAAACACATTACCAGTAAACCCCAACTTCACCCCTAATATCACAGGTAAACACATTACCAGTAAACCCCAACGTCACCTCTAATATCACAGGTAAACACATCACCAGTAAACCCCAACGTCACCCCTAATATCAAGGAAGTTCTACTACATTCACTGATAGAATTGTACGATTCATGGAAATATGTAAATTAGTCAAGGTCACCTGACCCCAGACAGAATCAAATATGTTCTGCTGATAAGGCGTATAAATAGATGTGTAGAAGGCGATTGGAATGTACAAGTTCAGTGTTATCAGGGTCCAACAAACTACGGGTTTATAAATAAAACAATACTGCAAATGTGCAGTAATTTATCGTCAATAAATATGTTGATGTGATCAGACAGCATGCATGCTTTATTGAACAGCACACACTGTTTATATCAGACAGCACTCTGCCATCCCAAGATGTATTTGCATTCTAAATCTGGTCACTGCAGGTGAAATAGTATATGTTCCAGACAAACTCTTCAGATTGACAAAATACAGGCGGACAGATGAATGGAGTGCAAACCTATGGTACCTCCCCCCTCCCACCTCAGTAACCATCAGGGACTAATACTTATAAGACTTGGAGTGACCTGTATCCCCTTCCATCTGTCTGTATTACACAGAACTAGTACACATGCCCATTGATACGACGACCTAGTGTCAACTGTCTACTTTAGTCTGTACAGTACATCCCCATTGATTTTATCAGGTCCTACCTGTTACATCACCAGTAAAACACGTTCTACATACATTATTTAGTCACATGGGACACGAGGGACAGATTAAAACCCTCCATACATTGTAACAGAGTTTCATAATCTTATTTACAAATGCAAAGTCATGGGTAGTCGTGTCATAGAGCTGTTGTGTATTCTGTGTATTCAGGGGGCACCTGCTGCCGGCCAATCTCTAAGGCAAACACACTACCATATTACAACCTCAATAGCTTCTACACATGCAATTAACATAGTATAAACTCAACTTGCCTTTCTGTTATTAAAATGTACCCTCTGATATTGAGAATGAAATAATCACTAGACCATGAAAAGACCAGGCATTTTAGATAGCATTTATATGGAGACAAATTTAATTAACAAAATGTTTATTCAAGATTTATGAGTGGGGATCTCTGTATGCTGTATATCGGAGTAGTGGGTAGGTGTTACATTGAGTCGCAGACACTCAGTACTGTATGTATGATCACTGGGGATCTCTGTATGCTGTACATGGGAGTAGTGGGTAGGTGTTACACTGAGTCGCAGACACTCAGTACTGTATGTATGATCACTGGGGATCTCTGTATGCTGTACATGGGAGTAGTGGGTAGGTGTTACACTGAGTCGCAGACACTCAGTACTGTATGTATGATCACTGGGGATCTCTGTATGCTGTACATGGGAGTAGTGGGTAGGTGTTACACTGAGTCGCAGACACTCAGTACTGTATGTATGATCACTGGGGATCTCTGTATGCTGTACATGGGAGTAGTGGGTAGGTGTTACACTGAGTCGCAGACACTCAGTACTGTATGTATGATCACTGGGGATCTCTGTATGCTGTACATGGGAGTAGTGGGTAGGTGTTACACTGAGTCGCAGACACTCAGTACTGTATGTATGATCACTGGGGATCTCTGTATGCTGTACATGGGAGTAGTGGGTAGGTGTTACACTGAGTCGCAGACACTCAGTACTGTATGTATGATCACTGGGGATCTCTGTATGCTGTACATGGGAGTAGTGGGTAGGTGTTACACTGAGTCGCAGACACTCAGTACTGTATGTATGATCACTGGGGATCTCTGTATGCTGTACATGGGAGTAGTGGGTAGGTGTTACACTGAGTCGCAGACACTCAGTACTGTATGTATGATCACTGGGGATCTCTGTATGCTGTACATGGGAGTAGTGGGTAGGTGTTACACTGAGTCGCAGACACTCAGTACTGTATGTATGATCACTGGGGATCTCTGTATGCTGTACATGGGAGTAGTGGGTAGGTGTTACACTGAGTCGCAGACACTCAGTACTGTATGTATGAGTCACTAGTCCAAATCTGACACATGTGCTTTGAAATTGTGCAGATATAAGAAGCAGCACGGGTCATCAAACAACACCTATGTCTATATCCTACTTCAAAGTGCATCGACTAGGTGTCTATACCACAATGGTACAGGTGGCGCAGCAAACTTAGGAAATGAAAGTTGAATCGCTGGGAACTTTCTTTTAGTCTACACAATAGATAAGTAACACTGTATACATGCACAGGTGTTAGGCAGTTTCTACAATTCTTTATTCAAGGATTTATTTTCTGAAATTAAAAGCATAAAAAGCAGGAAATCATATATTCAGTTAACATACATCTGTAAAGGTTATCTTTTACAAGTCAGATTTAAATATTCTAAAAGGAAAAGCCTTCTGCTGTTTATAGTTATAACCTAATGCTCACCTATACACTCCATGTTTTTAATACATACGTGTCCCAATCACAGCCCACTGATACAAGATATACAGGTATTTACTCAATCAACCTAAACATACATATGTGTCCCAATCACAGCCCACTGATACAAGATATACAGGTGTTTACTCAATCAACCCAATAAACATACATACGTGTCCCAATCACAGCCCACTGATACAAGATATACAGGTGTTTACTCAATCAACCCAATAAACATACATACGTGTCCCAATCACAGCCCACTGATACAAGATATACAGGTATTTACTCAATCAACCCAATAAACATACATACGTGTCCCAATCACAGCCCACTGATACAAGATATACAGGTGTTTACTCAATCAACCTAATAAACATACATACGTGTCCCAATCACAGCCCACTGATACAAGATATACAGGTGTTTACTCAATCAACCCAATAAACATACATACGTGTCCCAATCACAGCCCACTGATACAAGATATACAGGTGTTTACTCAATCAACCTAATAAACATACATACGTGTCCCAATCACAGCCCACTGATACAAGATATACAGGTGTTTACTCAATCAACCCAATAAACATACATACGTGTCCCAATCACAGCCCACTGATACAAGATATACAGGTGTTTACTCAATCAACCTAATAAACATACATACGTGTCCCAATCACAGCCCACTGATACAAGATATACAGGTGTTTACTCAATCAACCCAATAAACATACATACGTGTCCCAATCACAGCCCACTGATACAAGATATACAGGTGTTTACTCAATCAACCTAATAAACATACATACGTGTCCCAATCACAGCCCACTGATACAAGATATACAGGTGTTTACTCAATCAACCCAATAAACATACATACGTGTCCCAATCACAGCCCACTGATACAAGATATACAGGTATTTACTCAATCAACCTAATAAACATACATACGTGTCCCAATCACAGCCCACTGATACAAGATATACAGGTGTTTACTCAATCAACCTAATAAACATACATACGTGTCCCAATCACAGCCCACTGATACAAGATATACAGGTGTTTACTCAATCAACCCAATAAACATACATACGTGTCCCAATCACAGCCCACTGATACAAGATATACAGGTGTTTACTCAATCAACCTAATAAACATACATACGTGTCCCAATCACAGCCCACTGATACAAGATATACAGGTGTTTACTCAATCAACCCAATAAACATACATAC